CTCTACACAGTCCACTTCGTCAGGAGTCAGTCAGAGTGGTTCTCAGGTTTCCACTAGTCATATTGCTAGCTTGCAAGTCAGCCAGCAAATTCAACTCACGCCGGAGGACTTAGAAATCCGGCAAGCAGAAGAACTTCAGGATGGGTTACAACGGCAGTTGGACGAGGCAACAGAAAGGAGAAGAAAAGCCATACTTAGGAAGGTTAGACTAGGGAGTAGAATGCAGGAGCTAGGCAAACTGGAAGGACTAGATGAGGCAGCATTAGACCCTACTGGTCGTGTGCTGCGTAATGCTTTACTTTCAGTAGCTGAAGCGTAGAACGTCCAACAGGAATTGCTGGCCGAATTGGTTGCAGGCCAGAAACAAATCCTGGCTGAACTTTGGGCTCCTCGCATAACAGTGAGGCAGCCACAGTTTGCTGTAGTTCCCCCTATAGGTGCGGGTCCTTCATTGATGCCGCAACACACAGGGTCCACTTTCTCTCCTATGTTTGGCATGCCCCCTCCAGGTGGTTTAGCAGCAACTAGTGGTCTGGTTCAAAGAGTCTCCGCCGTACCATCCACGACAGTGGTAACTACAGTCCCACTGTCAAGACAGGCCCAGGTTAGTGTGCAACAGCCTGTTTCAGTGGCTATAGAGCCGCTGCAGCAAGCCCATGGGCCCATGCAGCCTATGCAGTGGATGCCTAAGATACCCCTGATGAGTCCCAAGCCCTTCTCTGGTGACAGAAAGAAGGAAGAGGACTTAGACACCTGGGTGAGGACTGTGCCTACTTATGTGAGGCACAAGCTCACAAGGCCAGAGCAAGAAGTTGTTGTGGCTGCCTCTTTTCTAGAAGGGTCAGCAACTCGCTGGTTGAATAGTGCAGCAGCAGGGCTACGGTCAGGATTTCGATGCCTGGGCGCAGGCTCAGACATTGGAGCAGTTCGTACGGTCCGTCTACAACAGGTGGCATGGCCCGCAAGGGGCTCAAAAGGCCACCGATGCTATCAACAACCTTTGTTCCCGCAGGTTCAAGGATGTTAGAGAGCTTACAGACACCGTAGAACACCTTTTCGTGGTACCTGGTGTGCGTTTTGACCAGCAGGTTCTCCTGACGGATTACCTAAGGTGCCTACCTGCAGAGGTAAGGACCAAGCTGGTTGATGAGGCCTATGTCGAACAGCACACCTTCGCTTCTTTTACTAAGAAAGCTCTGGACATAGAGGCAAAGCTGGGGTCTGCGCATAAGGTATCTCATGATGGTAGGAAGAAACTCCCCCAAGACGAGATTGATGAATTCCCAGACCTTGGGGAGTTGACAGAGCAAGATGGGGCTAGTGAGACTTCAGATGGTGGAGTCGTGGCACCTATCAAGGAAAAGGCTAGGGGGACCGGGAAGAAGAAGGTAGGACGGTCCGCGGGTCAGGGAGACCAATGGACACCCGCATGGGTGAAGCTTGGTTTGGATCACGAGGTGTGGAGGGACCGAGTTGCCAGGGGCACATGCATGAACTCTGGCAACTATGGGCACACGTCCAGGATTTGTCGCGGCAAGAAGGTCACCACGAAGGTAGCCTCACCAACGGTGGTGGGTTTATCTTCGAACCCTGGGAGTGCTTCTGTGAGCAGCTCATAGGGAAACACCTCGGGTCAGTAGGAGTGTTAGCCGCTCTTACTCGTGTTGAAGTGGTAGTGTTAGCCGCTCTTACTCGTGTTGAAGTGGTAACGTTGCCTTCCCCACTTCAGGTGTTGGCCAAGGCTAGAGACCCACACATCGCCCCGCAGACACATTCAGACCCACCGACGCTTTGTTCGAGAGATGTGTCTGAGGACCTAGAAGAGTTAGAGACTGAGTGGTCAGGGAAGGACCCCAGGAACTCTTGGGCGATGATCAGTAGAGGTCCAAAGGGTGAACATTTCGTGGTAGAAGTAGATGKAGSTGGCCGCAAGGTWGGCGCCTTCGCARACATAGGCTCTACACGAAATTTCATCAGTCGTGCTTGTGTGGATAGACTGCGCTTAGGGGACCAAGTGCAGCGGCTTAGCAGAACTGTAGCTTCTACGCTAGCCAACAAGCACCAAATGGTGGTCAAAGACTATGTCAAGGACATAACCTGCACCTTCTCCTATGGAGGAGGGGAAGTGATCCACAGGATCTCCTTCCTGGTGAGCGACGAACTGCCATTCGATATGCTACTAGGCATGTACTACCTCGAAGTCTCCTAAGGGTGTATGTGCGCTTCATCCTTCTATAGCTATTATAAGCAGAATCGAGAGGAGGGCATGTATCTAGTCTTTGTCTCTGAGAAAGGGGAGGTCGTTAAAACATCCCCAGAGATAGAAAGAGTCGTCGCACAGTATTCAGACCTTTTTTAGGAGCCCACAGGCGTGGTGGAAAGGGAGGTTGTACATGCGATAGAGATTGTCCCAGGTAGCAAGGTGCCTAGAGGACGAATCTATAGGATGTCTCCCGCGGAGTTAGATGAGCTTCGCCGCCTGCTCAAGGAGCTCATAGAGAAGGGATGGATACGGCCTAGTACCTCCCCTTACGGTGCGCCAGTCTTATTTGTCCCAAAGAAGGGAGGTTCATTAAGGATGTGCATTGACTATAGGGGCCTCAATGCCATCACCGTTAAGAACGCGGAGCCCCTACCCCGCATTGACGACCTCTTGGATAGAGTGCAGGAATGTCGGTACTTCACAAAGATAGATCTGAAGTCCGGATACCATCAACTTGCCGTTAGACCTGAGGACCAGCACAAAACCGCATTTCAGACCAGGTACGGTCTGTACGAGTTTGTGGTCATGCCTTTTGGCCTCTGCAATGCGCCTGGTACATGTCAGCACGCGATGAATAGGATTTTTCATGACTACTTGGACAAGTTTATCGTCGTGTACCTCGACGATATTCTCATCTTTAGTAGGACTGTGGAGGAGCACGCTGAGCACTTGAAAACAGTGCTAGGTCTCCTAAGACAGCACCAGTACAAGGTTAACTTGGACAAATGTGAGTTTGGTCGCACCAAGATCTTGTACTTGGGTCATGAAATTTCAGCAGATGGATTGAGGCCAGAAGATGTGAAGGTGGCCAGCATACGTGACTGGCGCCGACCTCAGACTGTTACTGAGGTCAGATCGTTTTTGGGGATGACGGGCTATTATCGTCCGTTTGTGAAAGACTATAGTACTATAGCTTCCCCATTAACAGATCTAACTCGACTTGACACCCCTTGGGAGTGGACTGAAGAGTGTGAGGCGGCCTTTAGGAAACTGAAGTACGCTCTAACACACTATGAGGTTCTTAAACTTCCTGATCCTGATAAGCCGTTTGTCGTGACCACAGACGCCAGCCAATATGGCATAGGCGCGGTCCTTGCGCAAAAGGAGGGGCCCAAGTTGAGACCCATCGAGTACATGAGCAAAAATATGCCATCTCAGAAACTGGCTAAGTCCACTTATGAGCGTGAGCTCTATGCCCTGTACAGAGCGCTGGTACATTGGAGACACTATCTCCTCGACAGATTCTTCTATGTGAGATCTGACCATGAGACCTTGGGATGGATCAAGACTCAGCCAGTACTCTCTGACGCCCTCAAGCGTTGGATACAAGTGATAGATATGTATAACTATCAACTTGATCCAATCAAGGGAGAGTACAACAAAGTAGCTGATGCGTTATCTCGTCGGGCGGATTATCTGGGCGCACTAGTGACTGAGTTTGGCATATCTAGCGACTTAACTCGATCATTGGTGGATGCCTATCAGCAAGATCCAGTTATGTCTGAGATCATCCGTAGATTCCAAGCAAAGGACAAAAAGACTTTGGACGAATTTACAATGGTAAATGGTTTGCTGTTTCTTGAGAAGGCAGGGAATAAAAGGTTGTGTGTTCCCAGTAGTGAGTCGTTGCGCAGTTTATTTTTAGGAGAATGCCATAATGCAACATGTCATTTTGGCTATAAAAAGACATCAGCGAACTTAGTACAAAGATTTTGGTGGCCCTCTATGATGCAAGATGCAAAACGATACGTTGAAACCTGCCAGGTTTGCCAAAGAGACAAACCAAGGACTCAGGCTCCGCTTGGGCTGATCAAGCCCTTGCCGATTCTTGACCAGGTCAAAGTGTGTCTATGGATTTCATGGACACCCTTGTGACCAGCAGGTCTAGAAAAGAGGCATATCTTTGTTATAGTGGACCCTTTTACTAAGTACGCAAGACTGATCGCCATGCCAGAAACAGCTAAAACTGACTACGTCATCAAACTGTTTATGGATAATTGGGTACGTGATTTTGGTTTGCCTACATCCATCGTTAGCGATAGGGATGTGAGATTCACAAGTGAACTATGGCAGCCAACTGCTGAACAGATGGGCACCAAACTCCAAATGACCTCAAGGAATCACCCTGAGTCAAATGGCCAGGCATAACAGATGAAGCGGGCAGTACAGCACCTGCTTCGGCATTACATTAAGCCAAGTCAGGATGACTGGGACGAGAAGTTACCTCTCGTCGCCAGCTTGTACAACAATGCTGTGCACAATACAACTGGTATTGGTATGACTCCCAACCAGTTACATCTTGGTTGGAAACCCAGAACTGCATTGGACTTTCTGCTACCAGAAAGACAATCCACTGCAGCACCTGGCGGCATAGATTTTGTTGTCAAATATGAACAGATGCTGCAGCAGGCCGTTGAACATATTAGGAAGTCTCAGGATGCTATGATTGCATCTGAGAATAAGCATAGACGGCCCTCTAACTTTCAGGTAGGTGAACGAGTCTGGGTAAAGTCATCTGAATTAGGTCAGGAGTTGGGGATATCCAGAAAACTGATGCCACAATATTTCGGGCCCTGGGAGATCTTGGACGTTGTAGGGGATCAACCGGATGGGCCTTCATACGTGATCCGTATTCCTGCACACTTACGCACCTACCCATTGTTTCATGCCTCCAAGCTGGCACCTTTCGCTGCCACTGATCAGTTTCCTTCCAGAAGATCAATGCTGCCCCCAACCATGGATGGCGAAGTGGACATTGACCAGATCGTCGAGCATCGACTGATGCCTGTTCCTCGACCATCAGGCAGAGGGCGACCTCCTAAACCGAGAATGCAGTATCGTGTGAGCTTCATACATCATCTGGATCCAAAAGAAGACCGGTGGTTCACACGAGAAGAACTCATGAGAAGAGCACCTCAAGTGATCGCAGGCTATGAAAGAGCACTCAAGGGGAAGATGCCTGCAGAATGAGAGACTTCTCAGAGGACTCACGAAGTAAAGGAGGAGGGAATGCGAGGATCAGGGTCCTCGGTAGGCCTATGGGGCCCTGTTTGCAGCATTACCCGTCCGAAGTGAAGGCGGAGGTGCCCGTCCTAAGCGATGGCGGGCCTGGCTTTTTGCAAGAGGCCCTCGACTGTCAATTTCATATTTGGGGTCTAGGCAGTTGCGACGCGCCAATTGGTTGAAAGAAACACAAGCCGAGCAACAAAGACATTTACACGGCCCTCCGGGCCTTTCCAAAGAATGCAGGCCCTGGGCGTGATTCGCAGCCTCATATAGAGACAGTTGGGCACCCAACCGAACGAGGCCCAACAGCCCAGTAGCTGCTGTACGCAGACAGCCTCCTGGGGCCTTCCGGAAGCTTCTGGGCCGAGGCCAGCCCAGCTAGGCTGCGAGAGCTGGCCAGCCCTTTTCCATAAAGGAAA